AGCATCAGCTTCTGACCTCCATACACATGCACACACTCATGAATGTACATCTCTACACAAGTGTGCACACAGACATGTAAACATGCATATACTCATGACACATGTATACACACACTCAAAAAATCTATTAGAGGAATTCAAACTGACTTTTAGATTGGAGATTTGGACTAGGTATTACTTTGGGCCTTGACTAGAGAAGTCCAACTCATCAGGTTTTGTGTATTAAGAGTCTGCCTAAGATTTCTTTGGGGAAAAATAACATGGTGGGGGATAAACTATAATGTAGTCTACACAATGAAATATTAGTACACACACATTAATCTAAGCCAGCACACTGATCAAGCTTACCTGCATCCAAAGTCTAGTTTTCTGACTTAGTAGTCCTTGGAATTTGGGTGAGCTTTTAAACCTCTTGGTGTCTCAAGTTCCTTTTTATGTAAAAGGGGAGTGATGCCATTACCTGCCTTGTTATGAAGAGTATGTGAGTCTCCCAAAGCTGGTGATTTGATATTCTCAACAGAGCACTCTGCAAAGTAGAATGTAAATCCACTTGAGTAGGAGAGGTTTGTTACTGTTTTTATTTTATTGATTTGCTTTGTTCTGGTTGAGACAGTTTCCTTATGTAGCCTAAACTGTCCTTAAACTCAGGCTCCTCCTGTTTCAACTTCTGTAGTACTGAGATTACAGCTATGTGCCACCATCCAAATATTTTATCTGTAGCCAAAAATAAAAGCTTTAAAAAAAAAAATGAAGGTACATGTTTGGTGGCACACACTTTTAATCCTAGCACTTAGGAGGCAGAGACAATCAGATTTCTGAGTTCAAAGCCAGCCTATGCTATATAGTGAGTTCTAGTCTAGCTAGGATTACATAGTGGGATTTGTCTCAAAAAACTTTAATGACATGTATTCATTTAGCATGTGTGCATTTGTATATAGGTAGGTGTGTGCCACAATGCCAGAAAGTCAGAGGACAACTTACAGGAGTCAGTTTTCTCCTACCACGTAGATCTCAGGGATCAAACTTGGGTCATCAATCATGGTGGCAAGCATCCCTTCCAAAGAGCCATCTCACCAGCCCCAAACATTCTTTGTTTTTGTTTGTTTGTTTGTTGTTTGTGTTTTTTGTTTTGTTTTTTCGAGAGAGTGTTTCTCTGTATTGCTTTGAATTTTGTCCTGGAACTCTCTCTGTAGACCAGGCTGGCCTGGAACTCACAGAGATCCATCTGCCTCTACCTCCTGAGTACTGGGATTAAAGGCATAGGCCACCAACTTCTGGCTCCAAACTACATTCTTGAAAATCATGTTGCCAGGGGGCTGGAGAGATGGCTCAGTGGTTAAGAGTGCTGACTGCTCTTTCAGAGGTCCTGCGTTCAATTCCCTGCAACCGAATGGTGGCTCACAACCATCTATAATGAGATCTGGGGCCCTCTTCTGGTGTGCAGACATACATGCAGGCAGAACACTGTATACATAATAAATAAATAAATCTTTTTAAAAAAAAAAAGAAAGAAAAAAATCATGTTGCCAGGATAGAAAATTCCCTAATGATCTAATTTGCATAATTTCTAACTACACTAAATTGTTTGATATTTCTAAAGGTATCTATTTTCTCCTCTTTCTTTGAATACTCAGGAGAATTAGCAGTGCTGGAGATGGAATTTTTAAAATACAATGATTTTCACTGGTTTATTTTACATAAAAATAATCCCCCTTGATGTAGTCTCATTGCAGACTGATACAAAAGGCTTACACTGTGCACAAATCATTTTGGAAAGGAAGAAACATATTTTGTAGTAAGTGCCTTAATCTTAGCAGTTGCTGAAGATATGGCAACTGTATGATGGAACCACACCTCTTTTATCTGTAGCAGTGGGAGCTAAGCCTCCCTCAAAGTTGCTGCTTCTCCATAGCTGAATCTTGCTAGAGCCAGATGGGGCAACACCCAGGCTTCCTGATTGGGTATCTGAGTTATACTAGTTGTGAAAATGGCACCACCAGTTCTAAAAGGTCTTTGCTTGCCTGAACTATGTTGTTATCATCAAGTGCTTACTGAGTTCCTGTTCCATCTGTATGGATACAGAAGTGTCAGTGTTCTGTCGGACACTGTAATAACAAAAGAAAGATGCACGTAAAAAACAGAAAAGGACAAAGATGACATGGTCAGTCAAGAACATTACAGTACTTAATACAATGGTGGAAATACCACCTGTGGAGTCCAGACGCCTCAACCATGTGACTTGAAACAACTGTTTAATTTTCTCTTCTGTGACACACCAGCACTCAGGATGCTGAGGCAGGAGAATTGTCACAATTTTGAGGCTAGCCCAGGCTCAAACTACAAAATGAGACCCTGCCTCAATAGCCCAAAATCATATAAGGATAGATATCATTTATAAACTGTATTATCTGAACTAAAAGGTTGTGTATATGATAATATTTGAAAACCATGAAAATGTTAGCCCAGCCAAACTACAAAATGAGACCCTGCCTCAATAGCCCAAAATCATATAAGGATAGATATCATTTATAAACTTGTTATCTGAACTAAAAGGTTGTGTATATGAAAATATTTGAAAACCATGAAAATGTTATACAAAGATAAATGATACCATGAGTATATTCTATCAAAAAAGCCATAAATATACATATACATAAGACTATTTACAATGTCTTCAAAGTCAGTCTGTGATTAAGTGCCAAAAAGTGATTGCTACTGGGGCTGGAGAGATGGTTCAGCAATTAAAAGTGAGTCTTGCTTTTTCAGAGGACCTGACTTGGGTTCCCAGGAGCCATGTTAGGTTGCTCATAACTTCTTCTAACTCTAGCTTCAGGGGATCCAATACCTTTATGTGGCCTCCATGGGTACCTGCACATATCCAAAAATAAAAATAAATCTTTAAAAGTTTTGAAATATTAACAATTTTTTACAAGTTGCTGCAGCATTTCAAAGTATGTTACAGTGTTAAGAAGCGATAATACTGGTTGGTAAAACTTGCTCAGGAATCTGAATTCAAGATACCTCTTGACATGGGTTAAGATTTAATGAGGTAAAAGAATAACTTCAGTGCAGGTATGGAGCTTAAAAATAAGTTTGTCTTAGCTGAACATGGTGGTGCACACCTTTAATCCCAGCACTCGGGAAGCAGAAGTAGATAGATTACTATGAGTTCAAAGCTAACCAGGGCTACAGAGAGACTACGTCTCAAAGAAAGAAAAAAAAGTTTGCCTTGCTCTATAAATAGTAAAGAGGCTGATGAAAAATGGTTATATCTTGAACACTTGCTAAAAAATACAACTTGTATTCTTTAAAAGTATAATTTAGTGACTCAGAATATTCCCCAAGTTGAGCATAGGTCATGTGCCTGACTTCATTTTCATTACTAGGAAAATGAGAGCCATACCCACTTAAATGTCTCGTTAACTTAGCCTTTGACCACAAATATACCTTCTGTCTTAGGAACTTGCCAATTCTAGATATTTCATATAATTGGAACCACAGGGGATAGAGAGATGATGGCTCAGCAGTTAAGACTTAAAGCTCTTGCAGAGGACCAAGTTCAGTTCCCAGCACTCATAATAGACAGCTCACAAATGGCTGTGTCTCCAGCTCCAGGGGATCTGATACCCATTTCTGGACTCCATGGATTCTAGCATTCATACACCCATTCGCACACACTCTCTTTGTTTACTTGTTATTGCTGTGATAAAGCAGCCTGACCAAAAGCAACTTGAAGAAGGAAGAGTTTATCTTTGACGTATGTGTTCTGATCATAGTACATCATGAAAGGAAGTCAAGGCATGAACTCTAGCTAGGAACCCAGAAGTAAGAACTAAAGCAGAAGCCGTGGAGGACCACTGCTTCATGGCTTGTTCCCCATGGCTTGCTCGGTTTGCTTTTTTATATAACTCAGGACTAGGGTACCTAGAGGTACCACCTATAGTGAGCTGGGCCCACCCATGTCAGTTATTAATTTTAAAAAAATATCCTACAGATTGCCTGAAGGCCAATCTTATGGTGAGGATATTTCCTAAATTAAGATTTCCTCCTTCCAGATGACCCTAGCATGTGTGTCAAGTTGACAAAAGACTAACTGCATTCAGACATAAGTCCACATGATTTAAAATAATTTTTTAATGGAACCCTCTGCATATAACCTTTTCCATCTGATTTCTTTCACTGAGCATGTACTTAGTTTATAGCATGTTATCAGAACTTTTTATTTTAAGACTGGATAATATTTTAATTTATGAATATACCACATTTTGCTTATCTCATCACATAGTTATTAAGTTATTTTCACTTTGAGGATAATATGAATAATGCTTCTATAAGTGTTTTTTAATAGTTTTATGTGGACAAAAGTTTTAGTTCTCTTATGTGTATACTCAGCAGTAGGATTGCTGGACATATGGTAATTCTGTGTTTAATTTTTTGAAGAGATGTGGACTCTTTCCAAAATTCTTATATACCATATTTTATTACCACGACAAATGAATGAGCTTCCCGATTTCTCCGCATCCTTGTTATTGCCTGTCTTTGATCGCAGCTGTCCTAGTAAGAGTGAAATGGTATCTTATTGCAGTTTAGATTTGTTAGTGGTAAATGATGTTAAACATCTTATTTACCAAGGTTCTTTCCTGCACCCTAGGCTCATGAGGGAACAAATCGGGAAAGAAGTCCTCGCTACCTTTTTCTACTTCATAGGATACTATTAACTGGGTCTTACCTCTATAAATTAGAATATATTTCCTCCAGTATCTTGGTGGTATTATAAAATATGAAATTTAAATAAAGATTGTGGTGTATATTATTTATGATATATTAAAGCTTGCCTGAGGATTCAGAAAGCAAAGTCAGCCACAAGCTATAGAGGTCAGGCAGTGGTGATACACAACTTAAATCCCAGCAGCCATACTAGTTAGCCATAGAAACCAGGCAGTGGTGGCACACACTTTTAATCCCAGGACTCAGGAGACAAAGGCAGATGATCCTCTCTGATTTCAAGGCCTCCCAGGGCTACACAAGGATGAATCAGTCTAAAAGAGAAACAGAGCTAACACCTTTAATCCCAGGACTCATGAGAGGTATTTAAGACAGGAACAGGGTCTTAGAGTTGCCATTCAGTCCCCAGCCACATTGAGGATAGGAAGGCATTCATTCTCTCCAGCCACATAGAGGAGAGGCAGCAATCTGAGGTTTGGTGGAGAGCTCATGCAGACAGGCTCAGCCATTTCATCCTGAGGTAGTAGTAAGAGCTAGTGGCTGGCTGCTTTGCTTTTCTGGTCTTCAGCTTGAAGCTTCAACCCCAATATCTGTCTCTGGGTCTTTAATTTTTCATGTTACAAAAGATCATGTCCAAAATAATATAAAGGTCAGATCAACTTTTGATTATTGATTGTGTCTGTATTGAGTGTTTCTTAGAAACACTTTCATCAGCCTGAAAAACATAAGTCATTTTTACAGTGTGTATCTGTACATGTTGAAATGCATTTAGAGTTGACATCTCTTCTTTCCCCACCCCCAGGGTTGTTATATTATGCAGGGCACGGTTATGAAAACTTTGGGAACAGTTTTATGGTCCCTGTTGATGCTCCAAATCCATATAGGTCTGAAAATTGCCTGTGCGTACAAAACATACTGAAATTGATGCAAGAAAAGGAAACTGGACTCAATGTGTTCCTGTTGGATATGTGTCGGAAAAGGTAAAATTTCTAATCTCTATATATTCAACCTAAGGCAATTCCATAAGGTACTAAGAACCAGTGGGAATTTTGAGTTTCTGAAAGCAGACTTAATATATTTTGGTATGAGTATCTAATTCTTTTAACTTATTTTCTGTTTGCTGTAGAAGGGACTAAAAGGTACAAGTATATAACTTGTACCACAAAGCATCAGCTCTCTAGAATACATATACATGTTGCTAGCAGTCACTGTAATTATTCTTCAGTAATTAACAATCACACCTGTGGATTTAGACCAGGTAGTCACCAGTCTGTCTTGTAAAAATGTGGAAAGTATAGTTGAGTAGATTTTGGATGTCTTAAATCTGTTTGTCTGCCTTTTGTGTTCCCTGTGGATCAGAACCAATGATTATTCCTCTCCAATTTTTTTTTTGCTTATCAGTCAGAATTCAATGAGGGAGTTCAGATACAGCTTCATTTTTAAAGCTAATAAAAAAGCCAGGTGTGAACTGGCTTTAATCGCAGCACTCAAGAGGCAGAAGCAGGTGGATCTTTGTGAATTCAAAGCCAGCCTGGTCTACATAGCAAGTTCCAGGCCAGCCAGGGCTGCATAGTGAGACCATGTCTGGAGAAAACTAAAAAGATATAATGACTATTTGCTGTCTTTATAATGTAGGAGCCTGGGTTGCTCTTGGTTTGTATGTAGCTGTCTAAGTAAAAGAATTTGAATCTATCATTTTATGTGTACTAAAAATAGTAGTGTGTTTTTCATTGATGAACACAGTAATTTCTCATACTTGTATCTGCCCTTTTCTCCTTCCCATGCATATAAACAGAAATGACTATGATGATACCATTCCAATCTTGGATGCACTGAAAGTCACTGCCAATATTGTGTTTGGATATGCCACGTAAGAAAACTTTATATTCAGTTTTCTTTATTCTTGTATGTCTTTGTTTTGATTGTAGATTAGAGACGGAAATATCCATGGGCATCTAGGCATAAATTCACCTTGATGTGCCTCATAGAAAGCTTCAGCTGTGCACTTCAGTCTCTGTACCTTCCTCTGGGCAGCAGAACCCTTCACTTTTACCTCAAGCTCAGTTCTAGTTGGGAAGCCATTGGAGGGCAGATGAAAAGGGGAAGCTTTTCTGTGGGTATGGACACTCCACTAGCAAATGTTGGCTGTTTGTTTTCTATTGAATTGTGACAGATTATAAGCATATATATTTGTGGGGTGTAGGGCGTTATAATATGCATAGCATGGACTGGTTGCATGAAGCCCACTAGTATTCCAGTTACTTTCATGCCCATTTACTTCCCCTGTCTGAGAGAAAGAAGCATTTTGCCCTGACCAGCCTCTGGTCACCACCCTTCTGCCTTTGGCTTCTGTTGTGTGTTCAGTTTTGTCCGTGAGCACATGGTTTTGTTGTTCTGTGTGCCTGGCTTATTTCACCTTTTTCTCTTGGTGTTTCTAAGGTGCCAAGGAGCAGAAGCTTTTGAAATCCAGCATTCTGGCTTGGCAAATGGGATTTTTATGAAATTTTTGAAAGATAGATTATTAGAAGACAAGAAAATAACTGTGTTACTGGATGAAGTTGCAGAAGGTAAAATTTTAAAAAGAGCAATCCACTCAAAAAAAGTTCAGCAGTGAAGAGAAACCCACTTGGGTGCCTTGATGGTGGTTATTTTATTCTCATCAGTACTATGCGGGTTTGGAATTATCATGTGCTTCAGGAAAGTTTTTGGTTTAATGTTCAGCAACACTGATGATACTCAGTTCTTCTCTTTCCTTGTTGTCTTAGTGAATGTCATGTGCAGTGATGAGATGGAATTCGGTCCTCAGAGCTCTGCCTTGTGTCAGCCTGATGCCATGCTGCTGCCCAGTTCAGTTGTTAGGAGAGATAAAAGTGCAGTGAGCAGTCTCTGCCAAGCAAGGCATCTTCCTCTACAACTTATCTGAATTTTTAACTATTTTTAGCCACCCAATTTTTCTTATTTGGTTAAGTCTTCCTGATTCTTTTTCATCCTCTTTTTTTTTTAAGTTCTTTGTATATCTTTCCTTTTTAACTAATAAGAACTTAGCCAGTAAGAATCTTTAACATGTAGTCCTTGATTGTCCTGTTAATACTCAACATACTGACCTATCTTTGACTTGAGATTACAGGAGCAAACCATCACACCTATGCTAACTTTACTATTTATTAACAATTCATAGTATAATATACAAAAGTAGTCTGGTGGTGGTTGTACACACTCAGGAGACAGAGGCAGGCGGATATCTGTGAGTTCCAGACCAGCCTGGTCTACAAGAGCTAGTTCCAGGACAGCCTCCAAAGCCACAGAGAAACCCTGTCTCGAAAAACCAAAAAAGAGAGAGAGAGAGAGATAGCTGAAGAAAATGTGGCATCTAATTTTAAATTTTATCATGTATATGTTGTCATTTGACTTTCTACTGAAAGTGTTTCTCAGCAGACTACAGGCATAAACTTAGCATGGCATCTCTCTTTAAAGGGGGACTGCATTTGAGCTCTCCCCTAAAAATATAAACAAACAAACAAATAAAAATAAATAATAAGAGGAAGCATGCTGCACCAGTTGTGGTACATCAGTTCATGTCCAGCCCAGCTACAAAGTGAGTTTCAGGTCAACACATACAACATGAGACCCTATGTCAAAAAAATAATTAATAATTAGAAAACATGCTTTTAGGTCAATATTTTTATGTGTTTGCTTACTGCTTTAAACTAGCACTTTGAACTATGCTTGGTACCTAGTAGGTACTGAGTAAACATTTGTTAACAGATGATATTGAGAATAAAGCCTAACTTATTAGGAAATGCTTAACCTAAATTTGTTTGGTTTTATTTTTGTTATTTTTTTAGACATGGTTTCTCTATATTGTCTGGATATCCTGGAGCTGGCAACATAGACCAGGCTGGCCTTGAATCACAGAGATCTTCCTGCCTCTGCCTCCTGAATGCCAAGATTAAAGGTGTGCACCACCACACCTGACCTGAATATTTTAGATATAACAAAAGAACCAGTCTTTAAAAAGTGTTTACCTTCTTGTCTTTCAGATATGGGTAAATGTCACCTTACCAAAGGCAAACAAGCACTAGAGATCCGAAGCAGCTTGTCTGAAAAGAGAGCACTTACTGATCCAATCCAGGGGACAGCTTGCTCAGCAGAGTCTCTAGTGCGGAATCTACAGTGGGCCAAGGCTCATGGTATGCTGAAGTCTGTCTCCTGTGTGAGCTTCCATCAGAAACTTACTTTTACTTTGTTTGTTTATTTGATTTCCTTTTTGAGACAGGGTCTCACTGTAGCCTTGTCAGGCCTGGAACTCACTATGTAGACCAGGCTGGCCTCAAACTCACTAAGATCCACTTACTTCTGTTTCCTGGATGCTGAGATTAAAGGTGTGTGCCACCATGCCCAGGTATAAACTTTTATTTTCAAAATGGTAAGTCTTTTTTTATTCTGACTAAGCAGTTTTCTGAGTTTTACAGTGAAATTGGGGTGGGGGTGGGAGGCAGAAATAGTGGTGTATGCCTGTAATTCTAGCATTTGGAAAGCTGAGGCAGGAAGATCATGAGTTCATGGTTTGTCTAGATACATAGCAAGATGCTACCTCAAAAGAACATGTATTCATCTAGTAAGCAAGTCCAAAACTAATCTTTCAGTTGTATATATTACATTGGTTTATGCTAGAAATACCAAATTATTTAGTTTAGTATTTTACTATTAGTTAAAACAATTTTCATTTATTTTTGTTTTTGTCTTTTGTGAAAGGCATCATTAGGTAGCTTAGGCTGGCCTAGAACTCCAAAAGTTAATAACCATGTTTAATTCTTCTGTTCTGAAAGTAAGTTAAATTTTTATTTATATGGGATACAGGCAAGCCTTTGGCTCCTCCACAGAGTGACTTTTGAAATGTGTGACTGTCAGGAGCCAGGAAAGCCTCCTGGATTCTACCGTGTGCTCCGCTTGTCTAGAATTAAGGAACGGCCCCTGTCTCATAGGCTCAAGTTCACATATGCAGACAACTCATCTTATAACTGTTACTGCCATGCTATCTATGACAGTTGATTGGTGGGTGAAATGGCAAAGGCAGAAAAAGAAGATGAAGAGAAAATCATATCTGTACCTTGAGGACCTTCTAGTAGTTTAAATGGTATAGTAAAAAATAAGCTTAAATTATTACCTGAAGGAAAGGATTTTCTGTGGCATTCCCCAGTAATCTACTCTGAGCCTTTTATCATAAAAAAGATTGAAAAATAATATATTTCTTGAACTTCTGTTTTAAAAAATATCTTTATAATACTTAGTTCTCTTAAGTTGTATTTTTTGGCAAATTAGCATGTTAAGAGCACATTAAGGGGTGGGGAGGACATGACGAAGAAGGAAAGTTGAGTTGGGGGAAGAATAGAGGAGAGCAAGATAAGAGATACCATAATAGAGGGAGTCATTATAGGTTTAAAGAGAAAGCAGTCCCCAGGGAAATGTCTGGAGATCTACAAGGATGATACCAACTAACAATCTAAGCAACAGAGGAGAGGCTACCTTAAATGCCTTCCCCTGATAATGAGATTGATGGCTAACTTATATGCCATCCTATAGTCTTCGTCCAGTAACTGATGGAAGTAGAAGCAGAAACCCACAGCTAAACACTGAACTGAACTGGAATCCAGTTGCAGAGAAGGAGGGATGAGCAAAGGTGGCCAGACAAGGCTGGGGGAACCCACAGAAACAGCTGACCGGAAAAAGGGGGAGCTCATGGCCCCCAGACTGATAGCTGGGAAACCAGCATGGGACTGATCCAGACCCCATGAATGTGGGTATCAGTGAGGAGACCTCGGAAATCTGTGGGGCCTTTTGTAGTATATCAGTACTTATCCCTAGCATAGGAATGGACTTTGGGAGCCCATTCCACATAGAGGGATACTCCCTGAGCCTAGACACACGGGGGAGGGCCTAGGCCCTATCCCAAAGGATATGACAGACTCTGAAGACCCCCCCACCATGGAAGGCCTCACCCTCTCTGGGGAACAGAAAGGGTATGGGATAGGAAGGGTGTTAGTTGGGGGGGAGCAGGGAAGGAGGGGAGGGAGAGGGAACTGGGATTGACATGTAAAACAATCTTGTTTCTAATTTAAATTAAAAAATAGAGAAAAAAAAGCACATTAAGGGTGAAGTGTTACAAATATATCATATTCTAGATAATTGCACAAATAATTAAAATTGAATGTCTTTTTCATATATATATATATATACACACACACACACACACACACACACACACACACACACACACACACACACACACAGGAACAACACTGGGTGGTGATGGTATACACCTTTAATCCCAGCACTCAAGAGGCAGAAGCAGGTGGATCTCTCTGAGTTCAAGGCCAGCCTGGTCTACAAAGCTAGTTCCAGTACAGCCAAGGCTATGCAAAGAAACCCTGTCTTGGAATATATATATATTGGAATATATATATACTGTAGATATTCAGGAGTAGCTGAATGACTAGTAACAAATTATGATAGCCACTTGGTGAAATATATTTTATAAAAATTCTTGTTTGGGTAAGAAGGTTTAGCTTAATAGTAGAGTGCTTACTTAAAATGCACAAAACCCCAGGCTTTATCCTTCACACAGCATCACACCACAGTCATAAAGACTGAATCATCAATAAAAATCTATGTATATTATATTCCCACTGGAAAAACCATATATGTAGATGGCAAAAGTTTGGCTTTTGCTCTAATTGTGTATATACATTTCAGCAGTAACATTACATAATATTTTTAAGCAAATCATCTAACCATATACTGCCCATTGTGGGTATCTGCTAGCCATCAGAAAATTTACCAAGCAGGCTTTTTGTTTTTTTGTTTTTTTGTTTTTTTTTTTTTTTTCGAGACATGGTTTCTCTGTGGCTTTGGAGGCTGTCCTGGAACTATCTCTTGTAGACCAGGCTGGTCTCAAACTCACAGAAATCCACCTGCCTCTGCCTCCCGAGTGCTGGGATTAAAGGCATGCACCACCAATGTCCGACTACCAGTCTTTAAATGATATTATTATATGTTTTTCTATGGTTCTTTTTCAGAACTTCCAGAGAGTATGTGCCTTCAATTTCAATGTGGTGTTCATATTCAGTTAGGATTTGCCGCAGAGTTCTCAAATGTCATGATAATCTACACAAGCATAGTCCACAAACCACCCGAGATAATAATGTGTGATGCCTATGTTACTGATTTCCCACTGGTAAGTCTCATTTCTTTTATTTGTTTGTTTATTTTTGGTTTTTCAAGACAGGGTTTCTCTGAGTAGCCCTGGCTGTCCAAGAACTCACTTTGTTCTGGCTGCCCCTGCCTCCCAAGTGCTGGGATTAAAGGTGTGCGCCACCACCGCCCTGCTGAGTAACTTTATTGTAATTCTTGAGTACAGTCTTAAGTTTTTATTACAACATAAAATTTACTGCTAGAACTGGAGAGATGGCTCAAAAGTCATGGGCACTTAGTGCTCTTGCAGAGGAGCAGGGTTCAGCACCCACATTAGCCCGCTCACAACCACCTGTGACTCCAGTTCCAGTGCATCCAACATCCTCTGGCCTCCACAGGTACCGTCATGCATGTGATACACATATACTCACCCAGGCACACACACAGATAGCAACTTATGAACTTAAATCATTTTCATGTTTCTTTAGTCCTGGATAAGGGATTACCTATGCAAGTCATTGCTCATGAGAAAACGCTATCTATGGAGATACTTTGTGTTATAGACAATGTTACAACTTGCATTGATTGCATCATTGACATTCACTAATTTGTGTTTTTTATAGGATCTAGATATTGATCCAAAACATGCAAATAAGGGGACTCCTGAAGAAACTGGCAGCTATTTGGTATCAAAAGAGCTCCCTAAGCATTGCCTCTATACTAGACTCAGTTCACTACAAAAACTAAAGGTTACTACTTTTCCTGTTTTTAGCAACTAATGAAAAAGCTGTGAAACCAAAACTGATTGTCGAATAATCTATAGATGAGCTGCTTCATTTGGGTATTAAATTAGAGCAACAATAACCAATCTACTGTGGGTCTTCTCAGTGATACTTTTATCATTAAATTTTGTCCCTGATACTGGCCTAGGGACTTGTGTCTTCTATGCTGTTAAGAAGTTAGGCACATAGTGGATATGTGATACATTTTTAAGTCATGATTTCTTTGTTGTGGCTTTCTACAAAACATACAGCAAATTAAAATTGGAGTTGATTTTTATTCCATTTCTTGTTGAATGACAAATGATAAACTGCCTCTCTACAGTTCAGCTTTCTAACATAAGCATATCCTTGCAAAAAATTTTTTTCATTTTTTTCTTAGCTATATGATTATAATGTAGTAAAAATTAGGCAAAGGAATGGGCACTTGTTATGAGGACAACAGACTTTTTATTTGTTCATATCTAGTCTGCTTCAACTCTCCTCCCATTAGCTGACTGAGTTACTATCTAGTAATATGTTAAAGCAGCTTAAGCTTTGAATGTCCTTGTAAAGTAGATGATTTTCACATTATATTCTCCTGTTTCTGGTTATGGAGAAGGATGAGAGTCCAGTGCCTCACTGCTTAGGAAAAGCCTTTCATGGTGCATCAGAAATGGGAAATCTCTGATTTATAGCTTACTTTACTAAGAACTAGAATTATTTTAACAGATAAGTATTGAATGATACGGCCTGCTTATTTGCTTTAGGAGTGTTGGGAGGAACCTCAGAGAGGGAGCTGAGTGGGGCTTTGTTGTGGGTAGGGAGTGGTACTTTAAGGTTTCCATGGTTAATAAACATGATAAACCTCTTTTTATTTTTAGGAACATCTGATCTTCACGGTATGTTTATCCTATCAGTATTCAGGACTGGAAGACACTGTGGAGGAGAAGCAGGAAGTGAATGTTGGGAAGCCTCTTATTGCCAAGTTAGACATGCATCGAGGATTGGGCAGGAAGACTTGCTTTCAGGCTTGTCGTCTGCCTGATGAGCCTTATCACAGCTCAACGCCTACCTCAGGGGAATCACAGGACTGTTTCCTTTATTTGTTCCATTCACATCTTGGTAATTCAGACAGTGGTATGCCACCAGACAGGTGTCATTGCAGCCGGACTCCACATGCATTCATTTCAAGCTATCCCACCCACCATTACTCCTGCCAGTTTGGTAGAAGTAATGTGCCAGTAGAGACAACTGATGAAATGCCATTCAGTTTTTCTGACAGGCTTATGATTTCTGAAAACTAACCTTCATGTTTCTGAAAATTAGAATAACTACAGTACTTCCTCATGAAATAACACTTACATAAAGGGAGGTGTGGTGAATAGGCAAATGTATATGTACAGAAAGAAAACTGGCAACAACTGTTTTTATAGCAGACTCTCAGGAGTGTAAGGTACTAGAATTATAGTATTTAAGCTGAGTGGTGGTGGCACACACTTTTAATCCCAGTAGTTCAGAGGCAGAGGCAGGTGGATCTCTGAGTTTGAGGCCAGCTTGGTCTACAAAGTGAGTTCCAGGACACCCAGAGCTACACAGAAACCCTGTCTTGAAAAACCAAACAGAAAAAGAAAAGAAAAACTACATTATTTAACCAGACTATCTCTCTTGCTTTTGTCTCTTTTTAAGATTTTGTGAATTAATTTGTTCTATAAGAGTGAAGTATGGGGCCTGTGAATATAGCTCAATGGTACAATGCTTAGCTAATATGTGAAAGGACCTGGGCTTGATCATCATTACTGCAGGAAAAATGAATTGTTAGATTGTATATGTATGTATGTGTACCATATATTTTCATTTTGACCACTCAGAAAATCATTACTATAGATTGAGTTAAATTGTTGGCACCAAAAAAGAACCCTTTCTCTTTTTCGTAGTTACTTTATTATATGTGTATGTGTGTGGGCCTGAATGTGTACATGTGTCCATAGAAGAGGGCATCAGATCCTCAGAACTAGAATTACAGACAGGTGTGAGCCACTCACTGTGAGTGCTGGGAACTGAACCTACATCCCCTGCAAGAACAGCAAGTGCTTGATGTACTCCTTTAATTACAGAACTTGGGAGGCAGAGGCAGGCGGATCTCTGTGAGTTGAGGCCAGCCTGGTCTACAGAGTGAGTTCCAGGGCTACCTGGGCTACAAAGAGAAACCCTGTCTCGAAGAAAAAAAGAAAATGCTCTTAACCACTGAGCCATTGCTTCAGCCCCAGAAAGAACCTTTTCAATCACCAGGCTTAATTAATATCACAGGCTTAATTAACTTCATTTTACCAACGAGTAAAACAGATAGAGGCAAACTGTCTTACATTGGAGCAGAACTGTAGTCTCAGATCTAGTCTCAAATTTCTTGTCAGGAATGGGATTCGAACCCACACCTCCAGGGTAGACTGTGACCTGAATGCAGTGCCTTAGACCAGTTGGCCATCCAAACTTAGTCTCAATTTTCTATTCCAGTGGCTTCTTACTACACACTTCCTTTTCTACAGGTTCTCAGATAGGAATTATTTGTGTACATAAGGAAAGAGAGAAAGAGCTGTTTATAACCCTGAGAACTGTTTATGATTTTATGATTACAGGATTTTGCTTCAAGTGTTAGTCAAGAGGTTTATATATAAATCTTATGTGGAACAGACTAAAATTTCTTGTTCATAAGTTCATGAAACCATGAAGAGGTGATAAAATGTCTGTCTGTGTTTAAAGCTAACAACAGTAGAGGTTAAGAATAGAGATTAAACTGGATAGTTGTGGTAGCTGCTGAATTTTCTAATCATTGAAGGTGGCTTCCTTGCCTCCTTGTTTAACTTCAAAAGCTGAAGGAGATAATGGTCTTTTCGTTTTTATTTGAACTACAAGCAGACTTAAAAGCAACTTGAAATAACAAGATGACTGGTAATAAAAAGATTATTAATCATAAGAGTCTCAACAAAGACAATCCTACAAGCAGATGCCATCACTATTCAGTTCTGACAAACATTAAAATCAGCACCACCTTTCTCTGCAAGTTCTTCCTAAAATAGAAAACATACTCCACTGTTCCCCAAGCCCAAAGCATGGCAGCAAAACTGAAACATTGTCTATTGTACATACAAACACCAGATCATTAATAAAATACTTGCAAACTGAATAGCAATATGTAAAAAGGACTATAAACCTTATCAAGTAACTTAACTCAAGAACTCAAGGTTGGTTTAATGCCCAAAAATCAATTAGACTAATTGACTTTCACTTTTCACAGTAGTTATGCTCTAGAAACTTGCACCAACTTAGATTTGATTTTACCAAGATGAAAATGAGGTTCAGAAGTATTCAGTGAGGCTGCCCCACTAAGGTATGGTAGTTGGAATTCACTTCCTGTCCAACATGCCCCAACATAGCATAACATACCGACCTGCCTTACTTCCACCCCCATGATTTTATCAACTAACGAGCTAAAGCAAAAAGGTAAAGCATTGCCTTGTTCGACCTCAGCTGGAAACATGAGTACTGGATGGCTCTTAAGTTTTTGCTGGTCTGCACACTTCTACACAGGACCACAATACTTCCACACGTGCTGATTTGGGGGATGGTTATAGCAAATCAGTGAGGGCACAAATACATGATCATATGTGAGTGTCCATCTGGTAAGTTGAGAAAAGTCAATAAAGTCTAACATCTTTTGTGATAAGGAACTGAGCATAAAGAAGGCCTTCTTCAATATGAAAGAATATTTAAAGTTAATAGAGTGAATGGTGAGTTCTTCCTTTAATAGCAGGAATAAAGCAGTGTATTCCTATAATCCTAGCTGTCAGGAGGTTGAGGCAGGGTTATTGCAAAGTTGGATACATAATTGAATACTTTGAAATACATAGTACCACACCAGACAGAAATATATAAGGAGTCTTTGTTGCCCCAAAGAAAGTTTAAAAAGGAAAAGAAAATAAGTAAAATACCATAAGGTTGTTGACTCACAGTTCTGTTCAGTGTTGTTCTTGAAGTTCTAACCAGGGCTTGAAAAATGAAATCCATCTGTATTGGAAAATCAGTAAGGATGTAAGTTGAATCACATGCCAGCAGCTTTCCTTGATAGACATTGCATAGTGCTGGCATTTTTAACATCCTAAGGTCTCCTTTACAACTTGGACTTCACCTTCACCTCCTATGCAGTTCTGTTGCTATGATAAAACACCATAACCAAAAGCAACCTGGGGAGGAAAGGATTTATTTCAGCTTACAGCTCTCAGGTTATACTCCTGAGGGAAGTCACTGATTCAGAGGCCATGGAGGAGTGCTGCTTGCTGTCCTGCTCTCCATGGCTTGCCCAACCTTCCTCCTTAGAGCAACTGGCACCAGCAGCCCTGTGGTAGCACTGCCCACAGTGTGCTGGGCCATCCCATATTAATAATTAATCAAGAAAATGCACCACAGGCCCTATAGGCCAATCTGATAAGAGCATTTTCTCAGTTGGGGTTCCTCTTCCAAAATGACTAGTTTGTGCCAAGCTGACAGAACACCAGCTAGCATATGGACATTTCCCTCTTCATCTTAAAAATGTGTGTGACCTTTCAAGCCTTTGGCTTGAGGATGAAGCAGCCAGGTAGCCTTGACAGTAAGTCAGAAATTCTTGTCAAATTCAAAGTTGCATAGCTAGAAAGCTTAGATAATTGATACCTACATGGACACAATTTTAACATGAGAATGAAATCTGAGTACCTGTTAACTTTTGTGGGTTTTTCTTAAACAGCCTGATAAATTGTAAATTGTTTCCTGTTATTTGAACTTCCACTGATCCGCATGTTGTCACTGCTTTTACCTGCCAGCTGGTAGCAAATAGAAGATCAGGGTTTGATTCCAAGTACCCACATGGCAGCTCACAACCCTCAGTAATCCAGTTCCAAAGAATCAAATGGTAACACTAGACACACAGGTACACAGGCATGCAGACAAACACCCACACACATTAAAAATTAATTTCAGAATTTATATGCTCCACTGTATATTTAACCCCATTTCTCAAACTAACCCCAACATTTTAAGTCATATTTTGATACTATATGTTTTATCCAGGACTGATTAAAAAGTATTTTTAAATTTTTTACTTCCACAACTACATGACATATTTCTCATATTGACAAACTGTTAGTACAGAAAACATGCCTACAGCATGGAGATGATGTGTAAGTGTGCATACTGTCTTTTCCAACATGGCAGCAGTGGAAATACTTGAATGCTCCAGACAAGAAGTTTGGCTTAACTAACGAAGGCTTCATTTATCATGGGTAATGACTGCTCTCCTCTCTGTACAGTCGTGGGTGATGGGCTAACATCAGAGGGCCTAAAGTACTTAATAAACTTGGCAGTACTGTAAAGTGCCACTGTTTTAGCAAGGTGGTGTGGCTCATACCTATAATCCAGCATTCAGACTGAAACAGGATTGCCACCAGTAAGAGGCCAGTCTGAGCTATGCTGAGTTTCAGAAGCCTGTGCTATTTAGAGTGAGATTCATCTCAAAACTAAAAACTACCAGTCTTTTCAAAAGTATCGAATTTGATGTTCTCAAAACCATTCATCCAGATAGAGTATTATTTGTTATTAAAGCCTTAAAGTATTTTCATAAGATTGCCAGTGTATGTGGAAAATAAGTTGCAGTCTGAAGAAAAGGCTCAGAGCACTGGCTGCACTCAGAAAGGAGCCAGTACCTATAGGTTGACTCAACTGTCTGGAACTCCAAAGGTACTAGGTGTGCACAGACATACATGCATGCAAAACACACATACATATAAAATAAATTTTAAATAAGCCACACATAGGAATGCACACCTTTAATCCCAGCCTTCAGGAAGCAGAGGCAGATGGATCTCTTAGTCTGAGGCCAACCTGTTCTACATAGAGAGTTTCAAGACAGCCAGGGCTAGACAGAGAAACCTTGTCTCAAAAAATAAGAGTAAGTAAATGAAATTAATTAAAAATAAGTTATGGTTGAATTTTATTCACTCCAAAATCACTTTGTAAAAACAAAAATGCAAATTTAACATGTCCATTTATTAATGTATAAAATAATTCTGTGTACCAACCCAGAACAGCATAACAGTTTTCTGCATTGGGATTATATTTTTGTTTGCTTAACTATGTTTTCCAAAGTGTATATACTGAACAACTGTTGTCTAACTTTAAAATATAGATAAATGCAATTATATAAAGATGCCCAGTTTTGACAAATTTCTTCTGAGGCCACATTTTGATCTTCATTAAACACACTCTTATATATGAGTACTGGTGCAGCACGCATATTTTCATGTCATGAATTACAAAGGTATTTGCTTCTGATTCATGTTACAATGAGTAAAACTGGGCTGGGGATTTAGCTCAATCAGGGGTAGGTACTTGCTAGCACCGCCAAAGCCCTGGGTCTGATCCACCAAACCAAAGTAAATCTGGTCCAACCTACATACCTTTTTTTTTTTTTTTTTCAATCAGCATGGCAGACAGCAACATTGTAAATAGTAAAAACAACAAGTGAGTATTCTCCATTAAGGTGCTAGGCTTGAGAACAATGCATAGCACTACTTTCTGTGTGCTGAGATGAGCACTTTCTATTCAGTCTCATTTAACCTTCAACGGGCTTGTAATTATAGATGAAGGAACTGATTGTTGGGCTGACTTGAGATGTTCTGTACCTCAGATGACTCAAACCTAGACCACAGTGCTGTTTTTGCTGTTACAAAATGATGGGGAAGATATTGCAGTGACTGTAAATCAATGCAAAAGCTATATCACATCAGGTAGTGTAGCTGATGGAGGAGAAAATAAAGAGGTTTTTTATGTCTAAGAGACAAAAGAAAAAAAACCTTTGAAGTCTGCAAGAAATTGTCTTTTGACAGTAGAAGAAACAG